CTCATGCTTACGTCTATCTGTTCTCATGCTTACGTCTATCTGTTCTCGTGCTTACATCTATCTGTTCTCATGCTTACGTCCATCGATGTTAAACCTTTGTTGGTTTTAATACTTTTACCAAAATACATCTATTTCCCTCTAAAGTGATTTTTAGGTGTTTGGTAAAAGAGACACCAGCTTTTCAATATTATAAAACGGTTTCCAAAATCTAATTACAATTTTAGTACTACTTTAAATTACTGATGTTTTCAATCAGCTTTTCACCTGGTGTTTAATATTCAAAAACACTGATGAATTCACAGGTTATCTATAATGAGCCCTCTTTATATTCTACCAAACAACATTTATCTCATTCCTTCACCTTGTTCTTGGCCAGTCTCTCTATGTTTTCAGTTGGATCAGAGCCCATCGACAGCAGACAGACCATCGGCGTCCTGTTGTCACTCTCTGCCAACATGGCGTCCAGGTCCAGAACCAAACCTTCAGCATACGGTTTACCCAGAGAGTCCGAGATGTAGTGACGCGCCTGGTCAACACACACAAATACAAACAATAATGCATTGTCTCTGTTACACAATAGGGAACGAGAGAACAAGTGTTCAGCAGTCAGACCTGAGCTGTGGTTCGGTCCGGACACCAGCCCCGGATGAGGAGAAGCTTCCTGAAGGTGTCGAGCTTTTCCTCATAACCATCAGGCAGCGCCGCGTCCTCTGGCGTCGGGTGGTCAAACCACGTCTTCCAGCCACGCTCGTTCTGGCTCACCTGGACACGAGGAAACATAACTTCTGTAGGTCTACGAGTTCCCCTCTTCCCCTGCTCCAACGTAAACGGGTCTGGGTTCTACCTGGGACAGGATCTGGGTGAATGGCGGCAGGCTGGACAGCTGCACCAGGTTGAGCCAGGTCTGATCAAGGATCCATCGCCGTGGTTTGGATTCTGCAGAGTTCAAATCCAGAGAAGCTCCGCCTACACACACACAGACAGCAAACCTTTAGAATACTTTGATAATAAAGGAAAAGGATGGAGAGAGGAGGAGGAGGAGGAGGATGGGTATGTGACCTTTGACAAAGGTGAGCACCTCGGGGTGCGAGATGTTTCCGGCCTGCAGGTCGATCTTCAGAGCCAACAGCAGAGTGAACAGCAGTTTGTGCTCCTCATACAGACTCCTGGAGGTATAACAGTAAACCTGAGGGAGGTGCAAACAGGTACCAGTTACACCTGCAGGACACTGAATCTAAATCCAGTTTAGTTTGGACCATAACCCTCGCTAGAGAACTGCACCTGGAAGGTGAGGAAGTCGATGACGTTGCCGATCCGTTTGGAGGTGAGCTGCGACTTGGCGGAGTTCCGCATGGACGAGTCGAAGAGCCCCAGGAACTGCCGCAAAGACGTCTGGTACATGACGTTGACCAGCGACAACTCCACGATCAGGAAGTAGAGGATGCTCCCCCTGGTGGCCACCGGCCGGTACTCCTCCCTGGCCCGGTTGATCTTCACCTCCGTGTCCGCCGCGACAGACAGCTTCTCACTCACCTGAAGGAGAAGATTGGAAAGAGAAACTGTGTTTATTTCCTTTTGGAGTGCATTAAAACATAAAGAGGAGGCCCGCAGACGGGGAGCAGCACCTCCTGAGCCGTGGTCTTGGTGACCCTCAGAACCTCAATCAGAGACTGGTCCTCCACTAAGGACCCCTGGGTGCTGGTCAGCCTGAACAGCAGACTGTCCTCCAGCTCCTGCATCTTCCTCTTGTTGGACGTCACCTCCTCTAAGAGCTTCACTCGCTCCCCCTCCAGCTCCTGGTGGGACCCACAGGGAGGATTTAGAGTCAGATTCATGGAGACGTTCATGGTCTCATTGCACATTTTTGATGCCAATTGCATCCATTGGATCACGAGATTAAAACATTTTACAGACCTCGTATTTCCACAAGCGTAAAAAGAACCACAGGGCTGGAAAGACTGATCTGAATGTCATCTCTCATGTCTTCCTGCCTTAGAGTGATTATCTAACCATCTGACTAACTGAGTTTAGTAGCTGACTGTCGGCCCGGTGCAGAGACCTGTTTCTCCAGCAGGAGGACCCGACCCAGCAGCTGGTCCTCCAGGCCGCACCGGGTGACGGTGAAGTCGACCACGGCCGTCCTGGCGCTGACCTCGGGGCTGTAGGTCGGGTTGGCCAGCTTGGTGGTGATGTAGAGCGTGAAGCCCTTCATCACGTCCACCTCCTTATCTCCCACCTTCACCTGCAGAGCAAACCACGAACTTCTTTATAGATTTATATAAATATATTTTATGAGTAGAGACGTCGTGATGATTTGCTGTATTTTTTTTAGATTTATAGAATTCACAGACTTTATAAGTGGATCCAGACTTGATGTAGTTTTTGTCCAGGATGTTGTCCAGGACGGGGTCCAGTTCCTCCCCTACGTCCTCCAGCAGCAGGGGGCGCCCCAGAGACAGACTGTCCTCCAGGTGGGACCGGAAATATTTGTGATTCAGAGACGTCACCTGGGACGCAGAAGAAGACCAAAGACTTATTTTGACTTCCCGTGTCTTTGTTTTTCTTCTTACTTCTCACCTGCAGGGGGCGTGTCTAGACCTCACCTTCAGGGGGCGTGTCTAGACCTCACTTGCAGGGGGCGTGTCTAGACCTCACCTGCAGTGGGCGTGTCTAGTCCTCACTTGCAGGGGGCGTGTCTAGACCTCACCTGCAGGGGACGTGTCTAGACCTCACTTGCAGGGGGCGTGTCTAGACCTCACCTTCAGGGGGAGCGTCTAAGACCTCACCTGCAGGGGGCGTGTCTAAGACCTCACCTGCAGGGGGCGTGTCTAGACCTCACCTGCAGTTGCTGGTCTCTCTCTCTGTTCTGGATCCAGGTCTTGCCCTGGCCCTGGGGGTCTATCAGCAGCGGGTAGCGGGACGCCTTGGTCACCACGATGCCGTTCTGGATGGACAGGTCGTCGCTGGGTAAACCCTGCAGGTTCCACTCGCTCACCGTGGCGTTGTCCACCAGCAGACCAATCAGGTCCAGGTCCTGCACAGACATCAGTGGGACCTCCGTTAAGTGACATGTTTGAACAACATATGTTTATATGTTGGCAGATAAATGATTTACACGGAACACATTTATGTATTTCCTGCTCGTTTAACTCACATTTTAATAACAGGCAGGAATAATGTCTGTACAGTTAAAGCTCACTTAATAAACTCTCTATGATGTTCATTAATATTGAATATGTTCATAGTCACCACTGAGTATTCATCAAAACAGAGTTCAGTCAACAGGCTTCTTACTGAATAATGTTAGAATATATTTATAGAGGAGATATTGAGATAAAAGCTCGTATTTAATGTTAACATGTTCTCATTCAAACAGTAAATGTATAATATTTAACTTAGTTAAATCTAGTGGAAAGATGAGCTTTTTGATTCTTAATAATAATAATTGATTTGTTTGACTTCAGTGTACATCTGCTACTAAAACGTCTATTGGCCAATAAACTAAAGACGTGTTTAAAGAGACGTTAACGTTAAAGGGGAGGAGTCTCACAGGACTGAAGGGGAGGAGCTTGTCCTGCATCTCTTTCTTCCACAGCTCCAGCAGCAGGCGGCGGTACTCCTGGTTAAAAGGACCGGCGTAGGACAGGAAGCCGGAGCACAGGAGTACGTCCCCCACCAGGTGGTCGATCTGAGTCTGGAAGGCAGCGCTGCTGTCGGTCCAACGGACCTGAAACCCAGCAGGACCAGGAGAGGGAGGAGAGGGGGAGGGGTGAGTGAGGGGTGAGTCACAGGTGATGGCTGAGTGACAGACGGATGGACGGCTCTGACCTTCTCTCCTCCCAGCCCGTGGATCAGAGCCGAGGCCTTGGACATCTTGCGGCGGCAGGTCTGGGCGTCGTCCTCCAGGTCCTGGTTCTCCTTCATAGCCGCCTCGTAGAGCGCCTGAAGTTTAAAGTTTATACACTTTAATTCATTATTATTGTTAAATTAGATAAAATAATCTATAAATAAGTGTGTGTGTGTGTGTGTGTGTGTGAGACCTGAACAGCGTCCAGCTCCTGCTGTTTGGCATCCAGCTGATCCTGAGCTTTAGAGAGTTCAGTCTGAGCGACAACAAGACGAGCCTCCTGCAGGGTCAGGTTAGCCTGTACACACACACACACACACACACACACACACACACACTGAATCAGAGTGTTTCTACCACCGACACTAAGAGGTGTGTGTGTGTGTGTGTGTGTGTGTGGAGCGTTGGTACCTTCAGAGGCAGCACCTCCCTGTTGATGCAGAAGAAGTCGGCCATGGCCTGAGTCCAGGAGCAGAGTCCCGCCACGTTGCCACAGATCCTCTTGGCTGAGTCCAGGTTGTAGTCCTCCATGAGGAGGTACGGAGCGAGCAGCTCCACCACCTCCTCCGTGATGGAGTCCTGCAGCACAAACACACAGCGGTTATCGTCTGTAAACAGATGAAGCACGCAGCTGTGAAAGCTCAGAGAACAGAGTCGTTCACGAGGATAAAAGCAGCACATGTGATATGATTACATGGAGGTTCAGGTTCCATCAGCAGGATCTCCTCACTGATACTCTGATGAGGTCGTCCGCTGTGTTCTCATGAGGAAGAGAAGCCGACAAAAAACATCCATTTGTGATTTTATAATCTCAGAGAATATTTCTCAGAATATTTCTGTTATTTATTTATTATTTACTTACAGTGGTATATGCATATATATATATATATATATATATATA